CAAATAGGCTTTAACAAGGCTTTAATAAGATAAACAATAGAGCTACATGAGAAAATGTGTTCATAACGAACGGAAATAAGTAATTAAATTGTTTGCATCTGTGTCAGTCTCAAACCCTGGTCTCTGGTCCAACACTCTACCCATTGCCCTATTGGAGGCTTGTTGTGAACTGAGCTGTGCATTGCACAACAACCGTGATGGCTTTTTATACTGAGGAGGTGGAGTCTCACCCGGGGGTTACTAGGTAAGGGGCTGAACGCAGGTTCTGGTGGGTTGTCGTACGGCTTGTGACATCACAAAACGTAGGAAGTATAAAACTTGTTGTTAATACACATTAAAAATACATTTACTTACAGTAAATATGGCCCTGGGTGCATTTTTTTGGTCCTAGGACTGTTTTTTAAGAAGTACATACCCAAAGTTGAGTAAAAAAAACGTTAAAAAGTGAATTTTGCACAATAGGTCCCCTTTAAAGAATAGTTCAGTCATTTTGAGGTAGGGTTTGTAAAAATGTTCTAAACATATAATGTTAAACTAGTAATAAATAGGTTAATAAACATCAGTTTGGTGAATTAAAAAAATCCAAAGGTCCTTGTGAACAGGACATGGCAATGGGTTCACTGGGTTCATGTCTATTTTGGAAATGTTAACATTGTTGGGTTAGAGCTAGTTTTGCATCATACTATTTTAATTTATTTTTTTTATCAGAAATGTTTTGGAACCATTGTTGGAAAGGGCTAGCTGCTGCTTTTTGTGGTTGCAAGTAAATACAGAATTTTACGTAAATAACTTTGTAATGCAAAACTGTCATTGGAGCAAAGATCTAGCCATTAGCTTGTCAGTCCTGAACAACTTTAAACTATGTTTCTCCAAACTGAGTCTGTTCAAATAGTTATAAACAACAGGAAAATATGAATTATTTATGCTCTGTCTCAAGAAGGCCAATTTAAAATGACTAATAATCCCACCCCCCTCTGCCCCCGGCAAAAGTTAGACAGATTAACATTTACCTACAGACACTTTGTTGTGTACAGAAACTTTGAAGAGGAAACTGAAACAGTGCATAAGTTAGGATATTTGCTTTTTTACTTCAAGAACAAATAAAGCCATCTTCTTTTCTTCCTGGTTTTCAGGGTCTTTATCAGTAAAGGCCTCTAGTGGGATGTTTGCATGACCTCAAACAAGCTGTTGTGTTTTTCAGTGTCCCAGCACCTGCCCCTCAGGTCTGACTGGACATTCTGGCCTTCCTGGCATGAAAGTAAGTTTGTCTGTTACTCAATTGTTTATTGGTGGGTGACTGGTTTTTAATTTGTATTTTTTATGTGCATAGGGCCACAAAGGTGCTAAAGGTGAATCAGGTGAACCTGGAAGACAAGGACACAAGGTAACACCATGCTAAAAACAATACAAAAACAGACTGCCAAATGCAAAGCTAATCTTGACATAACTGGACTGTGACGCCCAACAGGGAGAGGAGGGTGATCAAGGACCACCTGGTGAAGTTGGATTTCAAGGACTACCAGTAAAATATTTCACCATCTTGTTAGAATGAAACACTGTGAAACGTACAAACAGATTAACTCCACTCTTTCTGCTGAGTGACCGTAGGGCCCAGGTGGACCAAGAGGCTATCCTGGAATAGTGGGCTCCAAAGGTGACAGGGTAAGATGCTTTCATGCACCAGACTTTTAAAACAACATGAAAATCCATCCATCCATCATCCATCCATTTTCTTCCGCCTATCCGGGGTCGGGTCGTGGGGGCAGCAGCTTCAGAAGGGAG